CCAAAACTTAACTTATATATATATATATATATATATATATATATATACAGAGAAACCAATAAAATGTGTGTGCATATTATATTGAGCTTAAAGTACTTAACACACATAATTTAAACTCCTAAACTAAATTACCCAAGCTTGATCTTGATCTTCAATAAGCTTGATTTGGTACACTTTACGGATGAAGCTTGAACTTGTATCTTTAACTTGAATGTACATTGTTTTACTCCACTATTCCGCCAATCTCCATTGGATATGATCGTTGAAGCTCTATTCCATCCATCCTCCAACATATTATTTGCCTAGAATAAATATAAAACACAAACACTAGACAAACAATATTAGATGTAAATTATTTGTACATCATCATCAAAACAAGAAGGCCAACATGACCCACTGTGGACCGAGCTGGTCCGGCCTATAATGGGCTAGGCTTGGTCTTGACCTAAGGCGGGTTTTGGCCCGGCCCACACCCACACCCACACCCACACCCACACCTAATTTTCGGGCTCCAAAAAGAATTACTCGACACCTAGTTCCCGTCTCCACAAGTTCAGTATAATTCATTCATGTCATCTATTGTGAGCTTGTATTACATGTATTTCAAAAGAAATGTCCTAAAGTTCATTCCCTTAAATCGAGTGTGGAAACATCTCCAAAGATATCAGTTAGAACACCCATATACCAAACATAAATACCTACTAAAGGTAGAGAATAGAAATTGAATTACAAAGTAAAAAATAAATAATGTTATTAGGAAAATCTCGTGCATTGATTATTATTTTTAATATTAGGTTATTAAATCTTCATAGACATAAAATAAAGGCTAAACTAAACTTTAAGGCTGCGTTTGGCAAGAGGATAAATGGGGGTTAAGTGGGTTTAACCCTCCATTAGCCTGCCAAACAGGAAAAAAAGAAGGGTTAACAAACCCGCACGCGAGCGTTTTATCCCATTTAACCCGTCACAACACGGGATAACTATTCCTCGTGAGAAGGCGGAACAAGGCTTGTTCCGCCTTCTCACAGGAGGGTAGACGAAGGAATTATGAGGGCAGTTATTTCATCTGGATCTCGTGAGAGAAAATTTCCACTTACTTCTTTCCTTCTAAAATTTCCCCACTAAAATTCCCACCCTAAAATTTTCCCCCAATCACTAGCTTACAACCTCCGCCTTCTAAAATTTCCCCACTAAAATTCCCACCCTAAAATTTTCCCCCAATCACTAGCTTACAACCTCCGGAACCTCCACACCGAGCTCACCTTCGAGGTCTGCGGGGACCTCGACGACCTTACCCAATCTCCGGCCAGAGAAACCCCGCTGCTTGGCTCCCCCTGCAAAGACAAAGGTCTCTTCACTTGCTTAGATCAATTTCCTGATTAGTTTGTCGACTCATAGCGGTAAGCTCCTTCTCCTTTCTCGTTTCATTCTAGGTTTTTGATTATGAATTTCATGCTAGAGTTTGATTCTCTTTGCCCTTTTCTCACCAAGGTAAAAAAATTAAATCTTATTTGTCATCAAGTCGATAACTACTATTTTGCATGAATTCGATTTGGATCTGAAAATTATGTATTCATTCTAGAGATTAGTTCTTTTGATTTTTCTTTTTATGATTTTGGTGATCTGGATTTATTCCCTTTAAAGATTGCCAATATATTATCAATTGTTGGTGAGCGTATTGGAATTTGAGAGGGTTGGAGGTATAATTAGAAATTTTTATTTCTTGTTAGTACGAGACTTTTAATTAGAAGTACTATCTTATTTAATATGCCAATTGCTTGACTACTTTATTGAGAGAAAGATGAATAAAAATTGCTTGCATTGGAAATATATATTTAAAGATATTACTAGTTTCATTTTCTTTGAAATTTAAGTTTGTGGTTCTTCTTCTTATCTTTATGCTATTGATTTTATTCATTACTCGTCTTATTAAGTTTCAATGCTCTTCCATCATTTGTTATTTTCCTTAGGCATGTAGGTCTATGTAGGCATAGTAAGTTTGGCTACTCTCTCACTCATTGTATAGAATCTTCAAGTTTAGTTGGCGTTCCAAAGGTGTTTGTTATAATTTCTCACTAAGAACTTGGACCAAAATTACCTCATTTGATAATTTCATAGTTTTGCTTAATTATATTGATGCTTGTGCTTTTAGAATTTATATATCACATATATCAGACTAAGTTTAATGTTGGCTGTCAACTTATGAAGTTAAATTAAGATTATATAGATATTTTTCAGAGATTACAATAATGAACAATTACACCACTTGTTTCCTTAGTAGCAAACATTTTAGAAACTTATGAAGTTTATCATGTTCTGCCCAACTAAGCTATATACATATTGTTTTCCTGTTTCGTCCATAACTTAGAACAGGAGATTACTGTAGCATTGAATTTTTTTTATTTTCAAGTATTGAAAAGAATGTGTTGTGATTATTATAAGCTTAATTAAAAGCGGAACTCTCAATCTAGTACAAAAAATTTAGGAAAGGAAAAAAGGATTTTTGCAATGTAGTCTATCTACAAATGATAATGACTTTTCATATAGTTCATAAAAATCAACTTTCATGCCTTTTTAATGACATCTTTATTTTCCTTTATATTTTCACTTATTATCTTGTGGGATTGTAGGACATTGTAAATCTTTGAATTTTAAAGTAATTAGGTGAAAGTTCTTTTGAATATGTATGTGTGTAGTCATGTCTTAATGCATAGTCTTGCTTAATGCCTTTTTCTATACATGTAGGTGTAGGCTGTCTAAAAATCATTATAGATAGATGATCCCCATCAAACATCAATGATGAAAGTTACAACATGACGACTTCCATATCAACAGATGAAGTTTCAGCTCGTGAAAAATTATTGCAAGATCAACTTGAACTTCTGCAACAGTTTGGGCTGGACCTGCTTCTTGTTTTAACACAGGTTTGATTCGTTTGAATATCTAAAAAATTATTTATTATTTATGGCCAACTACTGTTATATGTTTTCAGTTGACATTCATATCTTTTTTCATTAAATAGATATATGGCTCCAGCGTCAATCGTCCAGTTCGCCATAAATGTCTATCTGTAATTGGAAAGCTTATGTATTTCAGCTCAGCTGATATGATCCAGTCATTACTTAGTGTAACAAATATATCTAGATAGTGATCCATTTACATGTGTTTAAATTATGTAAGATATTTAGAGATTGTGAAAAGAGCTCGAGAACTTTGTGCTGAATGTATGTCATTTGTTGTTTAGCTTTCTAGCAGGTGTTCTGGCATGGAAAGATCCTCATGTTTTGATCCTTGCTCTTCAGATAGCTGAAATTTTTATGGAGAAGCTTCCAGGAACATTTTCCAAGATTTTTGTTAGGGAAGGAGTTGTTCATGCTGCAGATGCATTAATATGTCTTGATTCTTCAATTGTAGTTCCTTCTCAAACATCCTTTGAAAAGGACAATGATCCTTTGCCTCGAACAACTTCCTGTTCTCGTCGACGGATAACCAGACATTATAAACTTGTTTGTGCAGAAATAATTGGTTGCAAACTCTTTATTTGAATGACATAGAAGTTTGTTTTACCCCCTGAAGGCTTGATTCTTCTTTTGTTATACTGCTGGAAGATACTAAGAGCAAAGAAAATGGTCGTCAACATGTGCCAAGACTTTTGCTTATCAATCTCTGGAGATGAATCATGAAATTCTAAAATTCATTCCAAATACAAATTGTTGTATCCAAATTGTATATTGTTCCCCTTTCTCCAGAAAAGTGTGATTTACATTTATATCCAAACACAACGCAAATGAAACAGGTGGTGAACAAAATGTTTATTTATTTGCATGTTTTTGTTTATTCTTGTTGCCTTTATATATATATATATATAT